GTCCTGGTTTGGGAACAGCATCGTCCTCTTTGTCCTCCTGAGACAGAGAAGGTCTCTGCAGCCCACTGACTACCTGACCTTTAACCTCGCCGTCTCTGATGCCAGCATTTCCGTGTTTGGCTACTCCAGAGGCATCATTGAGATCTTCAACGTCTTCCAGGACAGCAGCCACCTTGTCTCCTCCATCTGGACCTGCCAGGTATCTCTACTGGAGTAGATGGACTCCTCTGTCCTTCCGGTAGAAAGGAATCCTCTGTGGTTTTCTTTCAGGTGGATGGGTTCTTCACGCTGGTGTTTGGTCTCAGCAGCATCTACACCCTAACGGTGATCAGCTTCACCCGCTACATTAAGGGGTGCCATCCCAACAGAGGTCTGGGCCCACCAGAACTCATCTCGGCACTTTCAGAACCTCGGTTGGAAGGTGCTTCTGACCCTGTAGGTCTGTCTTGTGTTTCAGCTCATCGCATCACCAGGAGCTCTGTCTTCGTCTCTGCTCTACGTCTGGGTAACGGCTGGGTTCTGGTCCGCAGCACCGCTGTTAGGCTGGGGCAGCTACACAGGTAAGAACCCGGTTCTGATCCAAACCCACCTCCGGCGCTGCCCCTCACAGCTGCTGCTCTGCAGATCGGGGGTACGGTACTTGTGAGATCGACTGGTCCAAAGCCAGCTACTCTGCCGTCTACCGCTCTTACATCGTCTCCATCTTCGTCTTCTGCTTCTTCGTGCCGGTCCTCATCATGCTCTTCTGCTACGTGTCCATCATCAACACGGTGAAGAGGGGCAACGCCCTTTCTGCCAACGGAGACCTGACCGACCGGCAGAGGAAGATCGAGAGAGATGTCACCATCGTGAGTTCCTACCAGTCTCCGAGTCTCTGCGAGTCGGCAGGTCTAACGGCTCTGGTCTCCTCCTCCAGGTCTCCATAGTGATCTGCACGGCCTTCATCCTGGCCTGGTCTCCCTATGCGGTGGTCTCCATGTGGTCCGCCTGCGGCTTCCATGTGCCCAACCTGACCAGCATCTTCACCCGCCTCTTCGCTAAGTCCGCCAGCTTCTACAACCCCCTGATCTACTTCGGCCTCAGCTCCAAGTTCCGTAAAGACGTGGCCATCTTGCTTCCCTGCACCCAGAATGCCAAAGACGCCATCAGGCTGAAGCGCTTCAGACCAAAGGCAGAAGGTCACGGCCGCTACGCTGCAGGAAGAGCCAGACTCAAAGGTCCCCTGAACCGCTGTGAAAAGACGTACTCCCCGATGAACCAGAGCCCTCAGGCTGCCACCCCAGGCAGTGGCAAGGAGACGCCACCGCCTGGCACCGCACCAGCTGACGCCAAGGGGGTGTTTTTCATCAACATGGCCGCTGCGCACGAGGCCAGCTCTGAGTTCGAGTGCGTCAGACTCTGACCAGCCACCTGAACTCTGATGCTGCAACTCTGTCCGACCTTAACCGACAATGATCCGGGGACATTTCCATCCTCTGGGCCTTCAGAACAGAAGAACCAAGTTGCTTTGACCTTTAACCCCATCTAGAGGCAGTCTATAAAAATACCAAATGATTTGAAGAGGTCAGGTAAAGATTTACCTTTAGCGGCTCAGATTCAGGTTCTCCAACCTTTAGACTGAGTTTTATTGAGAAGCTTTTGGTCTGGCTCTGATCATCAAATGATGATGCGATTCCCTGCTGAGTGAAGTGACCAGTCACACTTAAAGGGACAGTATCGTGTAAAATTTTAGCTTTACAGCATGTCAGACTGAAACCTGAAGTGTTCCCTTGATTTGTTCATGTTGGAGAAATCCCTTCCTTCAGCTGTGCAAAACGCCAAGGTGGACCTAGCTCCGCCTTCAAGGCACAGCTCCTCCTTCAGACTAGCCAGCAGCAATTAGTAAACATCTGCTGAGTTCATTACAGGAGCTGCTGCGTAGAGCAACGCTGATAAAAATGTTAAATGTTGAGGAGAGAAAGAGCAGGAACTGTTAAAGAGACAGAGGCCCAATTTCCAGGTGCTAAATTATCAAATCAAATTTCTCTCAAGTCATTTTGGATCAATGCAGCATATTTATACCAACTGAAGGGAACAGCAATTGGATCAGGCAATAAATGGCAGCATGTGGCTGGAAAACACAGAATACTGGCCCTTTAAATGTCTTTTCTGTCTGGTTAGATCAATTTTCCTCCTCTGAAGTTTGGGGTACCCCATGGTTCCCTTTTGGGCCCAAGTCTTTCTTATGCTTCCCTGGGCTCCGTCTCTAGAAAATACAACCTGTCATTCCACTGCCTCGGGTTCTGCTGGTTCCTGTCTCGTTGGGTTTGAATTCTATTATTTCACTGCTTTTGCCTGTTCTTGTGTAACAGGGCTATAAAATAAAGATTGGTTGAACGTAGGACTGCATTGTGTCTAAAGTTTGGTGGAGGGATGATCATGCTGTGGGCCTGATTTTCAGGAACTGGGCTTGAGATCTTCATCATCTTTACCTTCATCAGTGGGTCTTCTGTTCCGCTAAAGAATCAGGAACAGGCTGAGCTGGAAAGACTCTGATTGCATCATGAGTGTAGAAACTAATCATTACAATCATCAATACATGATCAATATGTCGGTCAATTCTACATTCATCAAAGACTCAGCTGCTTTGCCCTGAAAGGAAGGTTCTGGTTCTGATGCAACAACAGAACCAGCAGGTTAGATCTAGAGCTCTAGTTATAGATCTAGAGAGTTCTATCTAGTTCTATAGATCTAGAGCTCTGGTTCTATAGATCTAGAGCTCTTCTATTCTATAGATCTAGAGCTCTAGTTCTATAGATCTAGAGCTATGGTCTATAGATCTAGAGCTATAGTTCTATAGATCTAGAGCTATAGTTCTATAGATCTAGAGCTATGGTTCTATAGATCTAGAGCTCTATTCTATCAGTAGAGCTGGTTCTATAGATCTAGAGCTCTGGTTCTATAGATCTAGAGCTATAGTTCTATAGATCTAGAGCTATAGTTCTATAGATCTAGAGCTATGGTTCTATAGATCTATAGCTCTACATCTATAGAACTAGAGCTCAGATCTATAGATGTAGAGCTATGGTTCTATAGATCTAGAGCTATGGTTCTATAGATCTAGAGCTATGGTTCTATAGATCTATAGCTCTACATCTATAGAACTAGAGCTCTAGATCTATAGATCTAGAGCTCTAGTTCTATAGATGTAGAGCTATAGTTCTATAGAACTAGAGCTATAGAACTAGAGCTCTAGATCTTTAGATCTAGAGCTCTAGTTCTATAGATCTAGAGCTATAGTTCTATAGATATAGAGCTCTAGATTTATAGATCTAGAGCTCTAGTTCTATAGATGTAGAGCTATAGAACTAGAGTCTCTCTTGCTCTCAGTGAAGGCAGATGCTTCTTTCCTGCTCTGTTTTGTGTCGTTTTCTGTTTTTCTATTTTTTTGGAGTCTTTCTTCGTACACCCTCCAATCTACAAATTATGGATCCGGTCAATCGGTCTCTCAATGCCATTGATCAAATATTCTTGATGAGAATACCGGGACACCCCGGCGGTATTCGCCCTGGATTTACCGGTGATAACAGGATTTCTGCCGCTTGTGGATTCCTGGCTCATCGACAGATTTGTGGCGGACTGGGCCGAACTGGGCCGACCTGCTGAGACCCTGTTGCAACCTGGGCCGGTGGGAGCTCAGATATTGAATCAGAGGAGTCCTAGGAGGAGCCTTGGGGAACCCCACATGTGACCTCACATGTGCTGATCTTTTCGATGGGACGTTTCCTAAAAAAAGAAATTCCAGGTCTTCATGTTGGACTGGGTCCTGGTCCTGGTTCTGCTCCAACCGGCGACAACAGGAAGGCGCCGGGCTTCCTGACCAGCGACCTGCTGGTGAGAGCTGAGATCAGCTGCTGGGAGTTCTGGGAGGTTCTCGTTCTGAAGGAGTTTATCTAATTATATTACTAAATCAGAATACCAGAAAGTCTTTATTATTTATTATTCATTCTGGCATTACTGGAACCGTCAAATATAAATTCCCCCACAGAAGAACGAAGCTTTTCATTCTTAAGGCAGTGAGGTAATTAACTGACAATCAAAACCTGAAAGTGATTCCAGTTTCTCTTGGCGGCCAAAATGTTGAAACTGGCAAATTTTAAATTCCTGGTGTCGTTCCTGGACAGTTCATAAAACACTGAATCTTTAAGAAATGCTCTCTTTCAAGGAGATCTAGTGATCTTTTTACCCAACTAGAGCTTGTTGAGCTAAAATGTTAAAATTCAAGTTTGAACTTTTCATCTCCTCGGCTGGTTCCGTCTCATGAGCTGCAGATTAACAAACTTTTAATGAAACTTTCACTGGCAGGTAAAACAGCAGGTAAATGGCGGTGAAACCAGAACCAACTTTATCTCAACTGTTTGCTGGAAGATGATGGAAGATGCAGGAATATTTTAGCAGAGAGCATCCATCCTCTTTCTTCATCAGTTTGACCTCTGACCTCATGAAGCCCTCTCTGTTTTCCTCTGGTGATAATCTATTGGAAATCATTTATTGACAGGGCAATAATTATTCTTACCAGCTAAATGATAACATTTACCTGCAGCTTGCTGAGAGTTTTACTCTATTCATAAATTATTGATGATGTGATTCTATGAATAGGATTTATTGTTTTAGAGTGGAAGGAAAATTTCCATGTTGATGGACTAAATAGATTTTCCTATATATTAAACCCAACCAACATAAAGTCTCAGATTAATATGCATGTTTAACAACCTGGTTATTTGTTAACAGAATCGTTCTTCGGCACAGAGTTCAACGTGACATCAAGAAACTCAGTTTTTACTTTCGTGTTGTTTGTTGGGAGGACACACCCTTTATTGTTCACGAGTGTGTTAAATTAGACAGGTCACGTGATGTGACGCACAATAATCCAATAACGAAAGAAAAACAACAACAACAGATGAGAGCACAAAAACATTCAGAATGTCAACATTATTCTTCCGTGAGCCTAATTAATTTGTTATTGACTTTTAGCTCAATTACATTTCCGGAGTACAATGACAGCGGTCCGCCCCCCTTCCTGTTTGCTGAAGCAAGTTCGGTTCTGCTCCCTGGTTCTGGTCAGGAAGCAGAACTTACGTGAATCTCAGCCTTACCGTCTCCGGCCTGCAGAGGGCGACACCGCCCCGCTGATCTGGACGGTGAGAGGAAGAGAGCAGCAGGACAGAGAAGGAACCGCCGGTTCCGAGCTCTGCGGATCAATTCTGAAGGTTCGGCTTTGGTTTGTGGTGCTTCTCTGCGCATGCGCGTGGACTCATCACGTGGTTTCCTGCAAGCTGGCGGTCAGGTGAGGACTTCCGATCGGGTTCGAAACCATCAGGTGGGTTCTAATCATTTTGGGGGTTCTGGATGCTTCACCCGCAGATGGTTCTGCTGAGCATCAACTCCTCTTGTCGACAGACTGGACCCGACCAGAACAGAGTTCTGGTTCTATGAAGAGAAAAATTCGAGACTTCGGACTTTTAGAGAAAACTGATCAACCGTCAATAGCAGTCTGACGTCATCAGGCGCAGTGAAACCTGGTGACGTCATTCTGCTGTAGCGAATGTTTTTTGTTCATTGAATACACAAAGAAAACATCAAAGGGTAAATAACAGAAAACAATAATGAAACAAAGCAGTAAAATGAATAAAAATCTAATGAAAACATGTTTGTAAACATAAACTCTTTGTTGTGTTTCTGACTTGTTTGAAAAAGAAAAGTTTGTTCATATCAACATGAATGGATATCATACTTTATTTCAATAATTTACTAGAAATGTAACATTTTTCTTTGATTAGTAAACCAAACTGAATATTTGGTTTATAAATAAAACAAAATCCATGTTTGGCTTTAGAAGACAGAAAGTTATGAAATAATTCCCATAAATTTAGTTATTCTTTACATTCATTAAACAAAAGTTTAGTTGTTTGCAATTTATTCTATTAAACTGTTTTAGGAGATTTGGATGCATCACTTTTAGTTAATATTTCACCAAAATATGCCAAATTCTTAGTTTGGTCATTTTTCCTTCACTAGTGGATTCACATTTAATAATCCACATTTCTCACATGTGAAAAACTGTCACAAACAACTTGAATTGTAAAAATGAATTCAATTTATGAAAGTCAGACGTTTCATTTCAAACATTGTTCAACATGCAAAAAATCAAGTCATGAATCAGGACAAACTCCTTCCAGAGATGCTCAATAGGATTCAGGTATTTTCTCCGATTGGAGCTGAACCATCTTAGCAATAGCCGCTAACATAGCACTGTGCTAATTCATTTGTAAGCCAATTTCTTCCATGCGGTCGTCTACTTCCTTCTGCCCCAAAGAACCTACAGCCTCAACATTTTTCAGTCGGGATTCTGGCTTCTCTCCTGTTTGCTAGCTGTAGCTGCCACCGTGTGCTAGCTGTAGCTGCCACCGTGTGCTAGCTGTAGCTGCCACCGTGTGCTAGTGCTAGCTGCCACCGTGTGCTAGCTGTAGCTGCCACCGTGTGCTAGCTGTAGCTGCCACCGTGTGCTAGCTGTAGCTGCCACCATGTGCTAGCTGTAGCTGCCACCATGTGCTAGTGCTAGCTGCCACCGTGTGCTAGCTGTAGCTGCCACCGTGTGCTAGCTGTAGCTGCCACCATGTGCTAGCTGTAGCTGCCACCATGTGCTAGTGCTAGCTGGCTCCATTTGCTAGCACAAGCTGCTTTTGTTTGCTAGCTGTAGCTACTTCAGTTTGCTAGTGCTAGCTGGTGGCATCAACTTTTTTTTTTTTATTAATTACTTAATTATACAAATTCATGTGGCATATACATACATGGAAAAGTAAAGTTTTACAGGCTTACGGCAGACATATAACTAAAAGATAATAAAATAAAGAAGTTAAATAAATAAAATCAGTCAGACATCAAACAGAGGGATTACTGAACAAAAACAAAAAACAGAAAAGAGAGAAAAAAGAATTTATTTTAGTTGTCAAATAAAGTCAGGTCGTTATGAGCGTCCAAAAGTTTCATTCCCTGCTTGTTTTCCATCAGTTTTAAGGTTCTGAAGCGTTTTTCCATCAGAAGGTTTTTAAAGGCTGATCAGTTTGGTTTTCTATTTACAGAGTGATGAAGAATTTGGCGAGGATCAGCAGGTGGTTCAGAACCAGGCCGGGTTTTGTCTTTGTGGGTCTAAATATTACATCCTCTGTTTTTAATGGATGATGGAGGGAAAGTTTAGTTGAGATCCAGTCCTGAAAGTTTCTCCAAAATGATGCAGTTTGCACACAATAGAAAAAAGATGATCTGTTGTTTCAATGTCAGTGTTACAAAAGGTACAAATGTCGAAGTTAAATCTTTGTCTTAAAAGTTCCCTGGATGGAAAAATGTTGTTGAGAATTTTAAAATGAACTTCTTCAGCTTTAGGGCTCAGAGGATATTTAAGGTAATCAGTTCTCCACTTATTAACCTCAAAATCAGAGAACAAATTTAAAATGGAGTTTTTATTTGGTTGGACAGGAAATATAATATTAGTAAGATGCTGACGCATCCGTTTGTTAGAATGACTTTTGTCATTAAATCCAAACAGCTGAAGAGCTGGAAACTGAAGGTCAGCTGATTAATGTTTATATCTGACTGTAGAGGGGAAGGAGTTTAATACCATATGAAACTGAGTGCATGAGCAAACCAAGTTATACAATAAGCAAAATTCGTCATAAAACAACCAATCTCCACTGTCATTAAGAAAATGTCTTATGGACTGTTGTTAGAAACCATCATGTATTCTAAACCCAATAGACCAAAAACGTGCAAGCACACGAGCAGCAAATCAGCCAACACAAAGCAATCAGACTTTACGTTTTTTATTCTTTTGTTAGTGCTAAAAAAGAGACGCTTACCATCACAGACTAGAAGTGAAAACCAGGGGCCCCGAGTCTATACAGAATGTGTTTAAAAAACGGGAAGATTCGTTGCTTATGATCTAAGAACACGCCCAGTGGTCATCCGATGTCCTGTGTCGCCTAAATCTCTATTTCCCTGGAGATGGGAGTGAGGAGATGATTCAGTTCCTGTATCTGTTACAAATACAAAGGCCTTTGTGTGAAAGTATGAGAGTGTAATGTGTGTAGAAGCATATGTGTGTATTTGACCTTGGTAAGCGCCTCAACAGGACCAAATACCTTTTTCTATCCAGTGATCTAAATACAAAGATTTCTTTATTTATTATCTATTGTTCCAGATGGGGGTTTGTGGCATAAACTTCTGACCTGTGAAACTGAAATTTCCCATGATGCTCCTCTACAGCATGGCGGTCCAGCTGTGGTGTCTGTCGTTCCGACAGCCTTATGCCGGTCTGGTTCTGGACGGTGTGAAGACCGTGGAGAGCCGCTGGCGCCCCCTGCTGGTGCCGCTGGAGAACCGAACCCTAGCGGTGCACGTCGCCTGGCGGGACTGGGAGGGGGAGGAGTGGAGGGCGGTGCTGGGCGGAGCCTGGGGCCTAAGCGCCGCCGGCGTCCAGGAGCTGCTGGAGTCCGGGGAACGCTTCGGCCGCGGCGTAGTGGCAGGTAGGCAGAGATGGCATAGTTACTTTGAAAAGGTAACTTTAATTGGATTACTGATTACTTCTTGGACAAGTAGCTTAGATTACTGACTACTTGATTTGGAGATTAACATTTTACTTTGTAAGTTATTTTCAGAATCTGCTGACAACCAATCAATGTAAAAATTACACTCAATTTTGCCAATACTTCCGTAACCATTTATTTAATAAACAATGTGTCTCCACTTATGAGGTTGAACGGAAGATTTGATCGTTTATGGTTACGACTGTCCAGAAAAAAAAAAAAAACTTTTGGTAATTTTTGTGTTTTTCTTTGCTCCACTGTATGAAAAACTCTCGACAGGATTTTAGAGCCCCCTCTCAGCCCCCACTGTGTTACGGCCCTGCGTTTGCTCCACCAATCAGACGGCTGCACAGATTAATGACACTTATCTTAAAATTAATTATTATAATGACGCTCAGTTGTGTACCTACGAACTCGTTCATTCGTTTATTGATGTGTTCATGTTAGTCTCCATCTCTAAAGTTTTCTGGAGTGCAGCCTGAAGTTGTTCATAGGTCATACAAATAATATGAGGATACATATTTCTATTACCCGGACATAAACAAAGACCCAGTGGGATAGTAAAATTCTGGGGTTTATTTTGTCTAATCATCTCTAAATGAGCAGCTTCATGTTCAAAAACAGGCCCAGAAAACCAAACAGACTCATTAAACTTGCCAGCAACTTTAGAAAAACAAGCCCAAAGTTGCTTAGAATGACAGAAACCAAGGTAGTTCCTGTCTTTCCAGGAATAAGATGTTCAGCGGCTGCTGCAGAGACAGTGGCGAAACGCAGAGGAGATTGAATTACTAATGAAACCAGATTATCTGGGAAAACCGTGGATTAGAGCGACGCGTTGCTGACGTCGCTGCAGGAAGGTGACCCTGAACGTACCACCAGTCAGCATATGGTAACCTGCGACTGCTGGGCTTTACACGCCGCCCTGAACGCATCAGCAGTGCTGGCGGGTCACCCAGCTGCAGGACCCTGAATGGTGGTGCGTTCAGGGCGGCGTGTAAACATTGTGAAGAACGCATCGCCGTCTGTTCCTGCCAGGTCTGGTGGATGTGGGCGGGACCTGGCAGTGCCCCGCCTCCCTGCCGGAGGCGGAGCGAGCGGAGCTGCAGCGCTCGGCCGTTCTGATTGGTCTAGAGCAGAAGCACCTGACCCCGCCTGTCCAATCCCCGCTGGCTGAAGGGGCCCCTGAAGACCCCGGGAGGTCGCGACCTCTGGACCGTGGAGATTCCTGCTGAGCTGTTGCCATGACAACACTGGTAGTAAGAGGAAGTAACATTGGGGTCGCCCCCGGTCTCCATGACAACAGAAACCTGCTGAGACCCGCTTCTTGTGTAAGCTCCTCCCCCCGACCTGACAGACGGGTTCTGGTCCGTTTCAACATCAGCTTTCATCATGTTTGTAAATATTCAATAAATTTCTTCTGGTTGAAAATATTCCTGCTCATTTCCAGTTTCATAAACAAGTGGGGGAGGGGCTGAGGTCACTCACTCCCCCTCCTGGTCGGGTTCTGGTCCCTGGGAGTCAGGCTCCGCCCCCTTCAGCAAAGTAATGAGAAGGACCCGGTTCTGCTGTGGAACGAACTTTATTCACCCAAAACAAACCGGCACCAGAACTGAACACAAAGAAATCCCTCAAAAGGTGAGGGACTAGCCCCGCCCCTTAGCCCCGCCCCCCACTGTGATTGGCTGCTGTTCAGAACAACCCAGTTCTGATTGCTCCATCTTCTGAACAGGAAGTGACTGGAAGACATGTTAGACAAAACCATGCTAGCAGTTAGCTGTCAGCTAGCCAGCTGCTAGCCTAGCACATCTCAGTCAGGTGACTTATTTTAAACTCAAGTTTTGAACCTGAACCAGCTAGCGCCGCCCATTCAAAACAAAGGGAACCGTTAGCCACAAGCTAACGTTCACATGGAGGGGGGCATGTAGTGTGTGGGGGTGTGGTGAGGGTGGGGGGCGGTGATATAGCCGACCACATGAGGACTGGGGGCGGTGCAGTAGACCCGTGGGGCGTGGCCCGAGGTCGACAGCGCTCCCCAGTGGGCAGCAGGAGGAACACAAGGATGATAAGAGGAGTGGGGCAGGTGGGCGGGGTGAGACGCTGCTGGCAGGTAGCCAGCAGGGGGCGGAGCTTCAAATGGCAGGTGCAGCAGAGCGGGGGCAGGAAGGGTCGTCTGATCCGGGTGCAGCAGTCCTGAGGTGGCGGAGCCTGGCGACGCTGGGGTCATGATGGAGGCGGGTCCTTCCGCCGTGGGGGCGGGGCCTGAGAAGTGGGAGGAGCATCAGCGGTTCAGACTTCCTGTCTATCGAGATCCTACCGTCAGAAGGCTGCGCCGGTACCGACCGCTGGCCTGGCCGTCTGATGCTCTGGAGGATTCTGGGTAGGAGGAGGGGGGCTGCTGGGCCCGGCTGCTCTCAGGGAAGGGAGGGGGGGCGGCTGGGGGCAGAAGCACAGGAAGGAGTCGTCACGTCCCCGTTCAGACTGGTTTCACTGGTTTTAACCCGACTCTGGTGTCAGAGGGTTGAGCTCTGGCCCAAACGACCCGGTTCTGGAGAACAGACTCACCGTGGGGGGCGGGCTCCTGGGCCAGGTAGGGGGGTAGTGCTGATAGGGGTAGGCCAGCTCCGGCGAGGTGGGGGGGGGTAGGCCTGCTGCTGGCAGCAGCTCTGGTGGAACCACTGGGGGGCAGGAGGCAGAGGGTTAATGTGGCAACAACCCAGGTACCCCCAGTTACCCCCACAGATCCCACCCAGGTAGCCCCAGGTACCCACCTGCACTCCCAGGTTGTAGTAGTACTGGACGATCCTGCAGTCTGAACACAAACATCATCAGATGTAGAGCCGACCCCTAAAGCCACACTGAACCATGCGACCTCTGACCTCTGGGTAAGTCGCTGCCATTTGGGTCATAGGAGTAAGGGGGCGGAGCCAGCACGGTGCACAGAGGCTCGCCCGACTCGCTGACCAACCAGGGTGCGGCAGCGGATATCGTCATGGACACTGAGGAGAGAAAACCAATCAGATCTCCCGGCTGACCGGAGGCCCCGCCCAGACAGCAAGCGTACCTGGACGAGTCTGAACGTGTGCGGCCGGCGGCAGGTGAGGGGCGGCCGGGACCCGGGACGGCGAGGGAGGCGAGGAAGAGGAGGAGGAGGGGGAGGAGCAGATGACCGGCAGCGGCTTCACCACCTGGAACAAACACAACTGACTTTCCTGCGCCCTCTAGAGGTGAACGTCAGGAGTTCAGGTTACGAGAACGCCTCCAAGATGGCCGACCGGTCGCCGTTCAGGCATTTAAATGGACAGTCAAGATATTTCTGCTTTCCAAACGCGTCGCTGGAGACAGCGGAGCAAAACGATCACAAGTTCAGACAAAAACTATTTCAGACTGAAAAAAAACTTAAAATACTGAATTAAACCGTTTGGTTTGAATGGATTCATATTTATGGTCTTTGGCTAAAAGTGCAGCTGATGTGCTAAAAAGATCAAATTAAAGGGCAACATTTATTTTAAAAAAACCTGACGCTACATTTAGCCGTAAAAAAAAAAAAATCGAATGTGACTTTATGAACCAAAATTGGATTCATCAGTTTCCTTAAACATTTGTTTAAAATCATGAAAATAAAACCAAACAGCTTTTTGTTCCACTCCCACAAAAAACTATAAAATATTAATTTTATAATTAAATATGTTTTCCCTGGAATGACTTTATGCAAAAGAAATTCAAAATATCAGTTCCTGCTTTTGAAAGTGGATATTGTACGAGAAATCTATTCTATATTTAAAATGTTTTTCTAGCAGGAGATGAAGAGTTAAATTATATTTAATCTTCTGGTTCTCAAGTGCTGCTTTCTAAAAATCCGCTCCACTTTAAAGGGAAATTATTTTATTTTAGAGAATGCTCAAACGTCATAAAAGGCAAATTTTATATAAAAATATGTTGACGTCTTAATTTAAGATCTGAGTTTTATTTTCCGCAGTTTGTGATTAGTTTTATTTAGAGAAATCCTCCATTTCAGTTTCTATTTGGTATAGAAGGAAATTACGCTCAGTGTCTTCAGAGGTTTTCGTGTCGGTTCTTGGTGCAGCGCCCTCACAGGCCAGGAGGGGAACAGGCTGCTCAGAGGGTTTGGTGGATGAACCAACCAGCAGGGGGCAGAAGCAGGTGTGCTTACCTGCGGAGTGTAGCTGTAGGATATGTCTGATCTGCTTGGAGAGTTGGTCAGACCCCTTTCCTGTTCGTCCTTTCAAAATAAGACGAAATCAAATATATTTATCTCTGAAGCACGTTTCCAACTCACAGCAGCAAAAGAGCTTTGCAAGGAAAAAAACCCAGAAAGTTCAAAGTCGAGATCAAAGATCAGACAGAAGAAAATAGCCTGAACGGCTGGAAACCTGACAGCCAGCCAGAAAGGTCAAAGGTCATAAAATGTAGCGCCTTGGTGCTGCAGAGTTGGTGACCTGATGGCCATAATGGAGGAAACTCAAGGTGTTTTTTGGGCGTATTTGTGGTGACTCAAGCTGAATGATGGTGATGAAGGGCTACCGTTAGCCCCGCCCATCTAACGGAAGAAACAGGAAGTAGGCCGGGCAGATCCAGTTTGATTGGACCAATCAGGAGAGAGGAGCTGGAGCCAATCGGGAAGCACATTGGCCAGGTGTGAGCGTTGTTACCTGAGTGGCGGCGGGCTCATCGGCTGCATAGACACCTGGCAGCTGGTAGCTCTGATCTACAACACAACACGATGTCACTTCCTGTCCCAGCAGGAAACATGGCAGCAATGTACTGATCCTCACCCTGGGCGCCGAACACGTACTCCTCTGCGTACTCGACTGAAACCGATCACATGGCCGTCACACAACATGCTCACCCAGGCTTTTATTCTGAAAGGTCGGCCACTCACTCTGGTCCTCCACGGTGCTGGCGTCCGCCTGGTCGTCCTCCGAGGAGCAGGCGGGGGTGGCGCCGGGCGGGGAGGCCGGCGGGCGGCTCGCCGCGGCCCTCTGCACCCGGTAGGAGGAGCCTGAGGGCGGTGAGGGGGTCCCGATGGGCGGAGCCACCGCAGAGCCCTGTGTGGGAGCGCCATCAGCAGGATTAACCAATCACAAGCCAGTAACGGACTCAACGTCAGTGCTAATGGCGGTGGCTAGTTTTACTAGCAGTTAGGGTTGGTAAAAGTTGCTCTAAAGTTCTGAAGAACTTCTGGACTATTCTACAGTACGAATATTTCCTGATACTCTAACGTACTGATATCGGTGCGTTGCCCTGACGATGCACACATGTAGCAGTTCTGCTATGAAGCGTCGCCTGGAAAAACCTTAGCCTGAAACCCTGACCACGACCGAACGGACCCCTCTAGTTCATCATGTTCAATGCTGCGGTTCTGAAGCTACCTGGTTCTGGTTGCTCACCTGCAGGGGGGGGAACACGGCGTCGCCGGCGTCCTCCAGCTGGTAGAAGGTCATGGGCGGGTCGAGGTCGGCCGCTTCCTCCACCGCCTCGGCGGGAAACCCGAACTGACATTCCTTACTGACGGCCAGCAGGTGGCGCCGACTGCGGCTGGCGACACAAAGACATGAAGGAAAAGGTTCTGAAAGACCCGTTGTGGTCCTGGTCCTGTGGGCTTACCGGGACCGGAAGGCGTAGTTCTCGTAGTCGTGGTAATATCTTCTGCCTGGGTGGTAATAGGTCAGCTCTGGACCAATCAGCTGACGGTTCAGGAACCGAGCAGGACTTCAGAGCAAACCCAGAACCCCGAGGTCGGTTCGGGTCGGAGAGAAGAACAGAAACCAGCCAATCAGAGACATGAAGCAGCCGGGGGGCAACAGACGGCGGACATGTTGGATGGCGTTCTACCTTGACACGCCGTAGCGAGGGGCTCTTGCTGCAGGGGGGTGGTGTTGTGGGGGGGCGTAGGGTCGTAGGTCACGGCCCCTGGTGACGGGGGGAGGGGTGGGCGAGGGTGACCCGCTGGTTGGAAGCGGGGAGGAAGGGGTGAAGGGGCGGGGCCTCCATAGGAGACGGGTGGCGGCATCAGTAGCTCCACCCCCTTTGCCCCGCTGCTACCGCGGGACTTTCTGAAGTAACGATGGCGGTGATGCCGCTGACCTCGAGACTCTGGGTCTGCTGAGAGAATGGAGGGGTCACGAAGGGGTCACATTGTAGCCCAGCATAACCAGAACCTCACCTGGATCTCCCTTCCTGGCCGGCGCCGACACGTTCCAGGCAGGAACTGGGTTGACTGGTTTCAGATCCGTCAGCGGAACCAGGTGTCTGCATCACATCATCACATTCAATCTGCTGCCAACAGATTGAAGTTCCAGAACCAGAACCAGGTTCTAACAGGGTTCTGGTTCAGACCCGATTCTGAAAGGATTACTTCTCTCCCAGCTCCTCGATAAACACGGTGACGGCCGCCGAGTGGGTTCCCACTTCCTGGATGAAGGCGTTGTAGAATTTCCCTTTGGGTTCCAGACGGACCTGAAACCAGGAGACTGATGCTGATCCTGGTTCTAGAGCCTCCAGAACCACAACTGGTCCAGGTTCCCGATCCGGCCCTGGACCATCCAATCAGGAAGTGAGTTGTTACCTGACACTTGTCTCCCAGGAAGTACTGTCGACCCGCGAACACCATGTAGTCCGTCTTCTGCATCTCTGTCACAGCAAAGTAATCAGATTACTACAGACAAGCTGACTTCATCCAGGTGTGTCTCATCTGTGATCAGCTGACCGGTTCACCTGGGACCAACAGTTCAACACGGAGCAAAGCAGGGCTGGGAGATGTATCGCCATATTTTCAATTTACCACAGTTCTATCGCAACCATCCAGTATAAATTAAGGTTCAGCTTTAGTCATCAAAAATAAGCTTTAGTGATCAAATTCCCTGAGAGTGAATTTGATCACTAAAGCTGAACTCTATGAATCCGTCACCCTATGAAGGCATCACTCGTCCCTTCCCCTCCCAACCTGCACAAAAAGACGATGAGTCGAGTGAATAGAGGAATCAGATGAACCGTCTGGTTCTGAAGACAAACGTCTGGATCAATAATCTGGCAGTAGATCAAATACATGGAGGATGTCCAACAAAATGAGGTCAAACATGTTATCAACTATTGCCACAAAAGGTTGAACCACAGATTTTCTCCCCCAATCGGAACGTTTCCATGCCGTTCACAGAACCGGTCCGTTAGTGAAACCTGGAGCCGCAGGTCGGATTCATTTAGCGCAACGGGAAAATGGCTCCGATCTTCTCATTCTGCACGATAAACGCAGACGTGTTGCCATAGCAACTGACAACAACGCAACGTTAAGCATCAGGATTCAGGACCAAAAACACAAAAACTTTTTCCCACAGAGAGCAGAACTTTGAGATCGTTACAGTTTTATGCTTTAAGGCATAAAACTGTAACGATCTGTGTATTTTATTAACAAGTGACAGCTGTGTTTGATTAGCCACCGCTGCTATTAGCCACCGCTGCTATTAGCCACCGCTGCTATTAGCCACGCTAACAGCTGTGTTTGATTAGCCACCACTGCTATTAGCCACTGCTGCTATTAGCCACGCTAACAGCTGTGGTTGATTAGCCACCGCTGCTATTAGCCACCGCTGCTATTAGGCACGCTAACAGCTGTGGTTGATTAGCCACCGCTGCTATTAGCCACCGCTGCTATTAGCCACGCTAACAGCTGTGTTTGATTAGCCACCGCTGCTATTAGCCATGCTAACAGCTGTAGTTGATTAGCCACCGCTGCTATTAGCCACCGCTGCTATTAGCCACGCTAACAGCTGTGGTTGATTAGCCACCGCTGCTATTAGCCACCGCTGCTATTAGGCACGCTAACAGCTGTGGTTGATTAGCCACCGCTGCTATTAGCCACCGCTGCTATTAGCCACGCTAACAGCTGTGTTTGATTAGCCACCGCTGCTATTAGCCACCTCTGCTATTAGCCACGCTAACAGCTGTGGTTGTTTAGCCACCGCTGCTATTAGCCACAGCTGCTATTAGCCACGCTAACAGCTGTGGTTGATTAGCCACCGCTGCTATTAGCCATGCTAACAGATGTGGCCGACTAGCCACCGCTGCTATTAGCCACGCTAACAGCTGTGGCCGACTAGCCACCGCTGCTATTAGCCACGCTAACAGCTGTGGCCGACTAGCCACTGCTGCTATTAGCCACGCTAACACACTTTATTTCACAGTACATCTATTTCTACGTTTGTCCATGTCAAGTATCACTGACCTACTTCCCTCGAAACTTTTTTCTTAAAAACGTTTCTGATCTTGTTATCTAGTCTTAGTGTAGGCAGTTCATAGCAAAACATCCCTTTAATTTTATTATTGGAGCTACTTTAAGTCTAGCAGGGAAATGGTGACGTCATGCTGCAAGGAGTCTACAGTTTAAAATAATTTGAAGCTCAATTAAAAATATCTTGATATACATCACATATGGTGATATAACAAAAATATATCGGGATATTAGATTTTCCTCATATTGCCCAGCCCTAGAGCAAAGAGGTTCTGACAGACCGGAAGCAGAACCAGAACCATCTGAGCTCTAGTATCACACAGAAACCAGAAGGGGGCACCATGACTCACAAGTTGTCACCAACCTTTCAATCAATCAATCATTGCACTATTGATCTGATTGGTTGATTTCTGTTGGTCTGATCAACAGGTTGACTTCCTGCGTTACCTTTGCAGGTGTCCTGCCACACGTCAAACTCCAGGTTCCTGTAGACGTCGCTGTCCAGAGACTTCAGGACCTTGTACGGCAAACAGAGTCTGGAGGTGGGCGGGGTCTCAGCAGGCGGCTAAACGACAGCAGACACGACATCACCACAGGTAAAGCAATGCCGCCATTTCATTGCCCGACCTTCTCGATGCGTCCGAGTGAGCCGGACGCTCCGCTTCGGTCAGACTGGCAGAAAAAAAAACACTTGACGGTCAGCAGGGGGCACTATGATGCAGGGCTGGGCGGGGCTTCTCCAGGTCCGGTCCTCCAGAGGCGGTCCAATGGCATCGCCTCATTGGCGCTTTCCCACCAATGAGAGCAGCTCCGGACCGGACCTGCTGATTCTGGAGATTTTGTACCAGACCTGCAGAAGCCGCCATCTTTATTCCTTCCTGCATTTAAATGGTGACATCATCACTCCTCGACCTTCTTCAGACTTCAGTGCCTTGTCTGTTGTCATGGAAATGGGGCTAGCTACATGTGGGCGGAGCCTGAGGCTGGGGCCTCACCTTGGTGTCCTCTGCCGCTCCGCCTGCCTCCGCCTCGTCCCTGCAGGTGAAACCAACGCACACTGACGTCATGTGACCGCAGACATCCAATCAGGAAGCTGGAAGGTTGGCTCACCTGTGCACCCGGTCCTCAGGCGCGTCGTAGCCCACGTCAACGTCGCTGCACACAGACAGGCTGTTTCTATAGCGACGACCTCCGGCCCTGAAGGCCTCCATGGCCTGCCAGAGCTCCGCCCCCTCCACGCCGAACACCTGAGTGTAGAGCAGCTCGTAGAGCAGAGCTGCACACAGAGACACACCTGAGCAGGTAGACACACCCACAGCTCCCCGCCTAAGGCCACGCCCACTCACACTGGCACAGTGCCGCTGAAACTGGGTAGCTCCTCCCATAGATGATGTCATAGTGACCGTTAATGGAGCAGCACAGAGTGACCTAGGCAACAGGAGGTCAAGGTCACTGGCAGCCAATCACAGGCCAATGTGAACACCTGACCTCAGTGACCCCACCTTGTCCTCAAAGTCGTTCTCTGAGATGATGGTGGCCGGTTTCCCGGGGTAACGGTAGATCAGGAAGCACCGCCTGCAGGCGGACTGGAAGTTACCTGCAGCCAGGTGACCATGTGACCTGCAGCAGTCATGTGACCTCACCTGTACAGCTGAGACAGAGCCTTGATCTCCACCTGACCCACAGTCTCCTGAAACACACACACACACACACACACACACACTGAGCTGGTGGGATCCAGGTGAGCTCAGGTGAGACAGAAGCTCACAGACTCACCTTGGGATCCTCCAGGCGCTCCAGGTACTTCTCAAAGGAACCTTCCACGAACTGCGGGGACAACAGACAGGTGAGCTGGCTCCGGTTCTGTCAGAACCGCTGGTACAAAGCAATCAGAACATGTCCAGGTCAAAGGTCACCAAGATTCTCCGTCTCCAAAAGCAGAACACACCGACCCGGTTCTGGATAGCACCTCTCCCCCCGGAGGTTTTCCCCAGTGGGAGCTTGGGTTCGGTTCGGTTGGACCCAACTCACCGGCTCGAAGTTGCACCTGTTGGCCCGCATGAAGCTCGCGCAGTCCAGTCGGATCTTCTGATGGTAGTTCTGGGAGAAGTAGAGCTGCGGGACAGAACCGAACCGACTGGGTCAAAACGGAACCGTCACAGAAACACTAGACCTGTTCCAAACTCATCATCTCCATTCGGTGACCTCTGACCCCGGCACCGGCTCACCTGCTCGGACACGGCCCGGAACAGGCTGGACGCGTCCCGCGCGACCATCTTCCGGTACAGACCCAGACTGGACAGGTAGTCGTCCATGTTCACGAAGTACTTCTTCAGGCCTTTCTGCATCCCGCCGAACCGAACCGAACCGCGCTCCACGTGCACGGAACAGTTCCTGACCTCAGTGACTTCCGCTAAAGCGACCGCGCGCGCCTCCAGGTGACTTCAATCAGGTCTAATGAGCGCGTTGTCCACGAGGCGTTCACGGACCGAGAGAGGATCGGAAAGAACCGTTCACTGGCTCGGAACCGCAGCACTGAATGAACCGGATCATTATGACGTCAGAGGAATCAACCATTGTTGCGCAGAAAGCTACAAAATTCACAATATCTTTCGATTAATGACGTTAATTTTCATTTACTGAAGCTTCCGGCTGCAGGTGAGCACCGACCAGGGGGCGGGGCGTTTTATTCCCGCCTGTCTGGGTTCGGTTCTGGTTGGAACTGCGTTTGGGTTCTAACCACAACCCAGAACCAAAATGAAGTTCTGATTCAATTCAGGTTCAGTTTTTTTAATCTATCTATCTATCTATCTATCTATCTATCTATCTATCTATCTATCTATCTATCTATCTATCTATCTATCTATCTATCTATCTATCTATCTATCTATCTATCTATCTATCTATCTATCTATCTATCTATCTATCTATCTATCTATCTATCTATCTATCTATCTATCTATCTATCTATCTATCTATCTATCTATCTATCTATCTATCTATCTTTGCTCAGATGTCACGGGATACATATTAATATTTATTAAGTTATAAGTTTATCACTACTATTTCTGGATCTCAACCTTCTAGCCGAACCGAACCTGTTTGTTGTAGCTGCAGTAGCTCCACCTTGCCAGCAGGCGCCGCAGCAGCGCTCTAAGGTAGAAGTAGAACTGCATCGCATGATATAATTCAAGCACTTATGAAATATTTAAAAAGGATTTAGTGAGCAAGTATGAATGTAATTTACTTATTTTAAAACCTGAAGACATTTTGTGAATTAAATCTCCGTCCAGTAGATGGCGGTAACACAAAGTTTGTAAATGGCCAGAAAACGCTGTAGAAGAAGAAGACGCAGCGTTCGAACAGTGGTGCATTGCGCCTGCGCCGGGAACCACCTGTAGTCCTTGAGGCTGTGCGAGGTTCTGGTTCGCCATGGTTCGGCCCGGTTCGGTCCGGTTCGGTGTCGCTGTGACCCAGATGATGCGGCTGCTGCTCCGGAGGCTGTGGCGGCTGCCCGCCGCCTCGGGCCGCTCCTTCAGCGGCCTGCCCCGCGCAGGTCCGGCGAACCTTTCTGGACTTCTTCCGGGATCAACACAACATCTGCTGGTTCCGTCCGCTCCGGTTCGGCCCAGAGGAGATCCCAGCCTGCTGTTCGTGAACGCTGGAATGAACCAGGTCAGCCTGGTTCTACGTGTTTTGGTCCGGTTCGGTTCGGTTCAGTCTGACACAGTTCTGCTGGGTCAGGGACATCAAAACCAAATATAAGAAATAATACCAGAAAATAACCTTATTGGTTTCGATCGGTCCAGTTTGGTTCAGGGATAGATGGTTCTGGTTCTGGTCCAGTTCAGCAGGGATTCATCCAGAATCTGGAGAGAATCAGGCCCAAAGAACCAGAACCGGCTGATAACACCCCAGGATCATAACTAACAGTTCTAGTGGTTCTGGTTGTGATGAAGAACATTTTTAACTAACTGGACCTGGTTCTGCTACCTGGGTGAAGTTGTCCCCCCACCTTCTTCAAATCAGACAAAATTGGTCAGTCAACTCGGCTGCGTTTGTGCTGGTTTGTGCAGGAATTTTTTTTAATGTATACTGGTATTACAAATTATAGCACTATGAACTATTATTAGTTCTATAAATAATAAAGTCATCAAAGGTCAAGCAGCTCCCCTAACTTCTTCAAATTAGGTAAAATGGGTGTTAATTTACTTGACTACATTTGTTCAGCAAAAATGTTCATTTGTGCAGCTATCATTTTAAAGATATTAAAATAAAAGTGTCTAGAGGTCATCAAAGGTCAATGAACATCTGTTGATGCTGAAACTGTCAATTTATTTTAAATTGCCGTGCGAGTTGCTAACAAATGAACATAAAAAATTTAATTTTAACATGGACGAAATTCAATGCAAATAAGGTCTCATCTAAAATGAACAGGTTGGTACATCACCTCCCAAAACAATCTCGGTGACCTGTATCTTAGCTTCTCATCACTAGAGGTGCGATTAAACAAACTGTACTTTTGAAATACAAAAAATAAAAACAGAACATGTGCTTAGCATCTACTCAGCCTTTTTGAGGTCAATATTATTATCAACAGCAATCTTCAGCACTTCTTTTCAATACTTCATAGCAGTGCATCAACGTAAGTTTGTCCACTTGGGCCTGCAGCATGTAAGATTCACAAAAGCAATGTATTTTTACACATTTTCCAAAAACTGTTTCAGTACAGTATGGTGTAAGACAGCAATATGATGTCTTACACAGACCTTGATAGTTTGACTGCCTTGACAAGGTAGGGGAGCTGGTTGACCTTTGATGACTTTATTATTTATAGAACTAATAATAGTTTATAGTGTTATAATTTGTAATACCAGTATAAATTTTAAAAAATCCTGCACAAACCAGCACAAACGCAGCCGAGTTGATTGACACCAATTTTGTCTGATTTGAAGAAGGTGGGGGGACAACTTCACTCAGGTGGTTCACCTGCGGTAAAGCGAGCCGACTCTACGCAAAGCCGGCACACGACTTTCACGTGCGCAACAGCTCAAAACATTACGGTACCCCCAGTTACGTGCTTTCACAATAAAAGCGCACATCCGGTTCATGTTTCATCTGTTGCAGGTTTAGTCTGTATTTATGCAGGTGCTAAAAGAAATGAAAACTCTGAGTGGCAGAAAGACAACCAGGAAATGGCATCCACATGTTTAATTTCAAAATAAAAGCCAGTTAAAATATTACGTTTTTACTTCACCCCTAGGCTTTCGTGACTATTCCTGAAAAACTCTTTCTTTCGAGTGACTTTGTCGGCAACCTGGGGAAAAAAGTAAAAACGTCTTATTTTAATAGACTTTTATTTTGAAATTAAACATCAGACGTGGTTGACATTTGCTGGTTTTGTTCTGGAGCTGTTCCTCTGTCACCCAGAAGTGAGAGAAGTCACTAGAAATATATGTATAAATCATATACATTTATTTTTACAGCATTATTTTTCATACAATATATTTGAATTTATTTTCAGATACATCATTTCCTTTTGCAACTGCCCAAATATAATGTCTAACCGTGAAGCTGCAGGAAGTCTACAGTACTTGCAGTAGATGAAACATGAACCGGATGTGCGCTTTTATTCTGAAAGGAGTTATAAATGTCCTGTGAAGTGGCGCTCGTGAAAATCGAGTGCGGGCTATCTTTACCGCAGTCTGGTTCTGCTCCAGTCCTAAATGTTTCTGGTTCTGGTTCTGATTCAGTTCAAGCCGGTGCTGCTGGGCACCGTGGATCCCCGCAGCCAGATGGCGCTGTGGCGCCGCGTGGCCAACAGCCAGCGCTGCGTGCGGGCTGGAGGGAAGCACAACGACCTGGAGGACGTGGGGCGCGACGGGACGCACCACACCTTCTTCGAGATGCTGGGCAGCTGGTCCTTCGGGGACTACTTCAAGGTGGGCGGGGCTTCCGCAGCAGAGTGGGCGGGGCTTCCGCAGCAGAGCGGGCGGGGCTTCAGCGAGTCTGTGTGTGTGACAGGAAGAGGCTTGCCGCATGGCGTGGAGTCTCCTCACCGAGCATTATGGGATACCGGCAGACAGACTGTACGTCTCGTACTTTGGAGGAGACGCCGGCTCCGGCCTGCCGGCGGACCGGGAGACCCGGGACGTCTGGCTGGACCTGGGGTAGGTCTAAGCGGGACCGCTGCCGGTTCTGGGCCACGTGATGCGGTTCTGATCCGGTTCTGTTCTTCGCAGGGTTCCTGCGTCGCGCGTGCTGCCGTTCGGTCTGAAGCACAACTTCTGGGAGATGGGGGACACGGGCCCCTGCGGCCCCTGCACCGAGATCCACTATGACCACGTGGGCGGGCGCCAGGCGGCGGCGCTGGTCAACGCCGGCGGACCGGAGCTGGTGGAGATCTGGAACCTGGTCTTCATCCAGTACAACAGGTCTGGCTTCCAGCACACGCCCTCACACCAGCTGAACCGGCTCAGACCCGTTAACTGGTCCCAGTCTGCCTCAGGGAGGCGGACCAGAGCCTGCGGCTGCTGCCCCAGTTCAGCGTGGATACTGGGATGGGACTGGAGCGACTGGTCGCCGTTCTGCAGGGGAAGCGCTCCAACTACGACACGGATCTGTTCACGCCGCTCCTGGACGCCATCCAGCAGGCGAGTGGCGGCCCGTCGCCACGGCGACCAGCCCGCTGTCGGGGCCACCAGCCGGACGTCATAGCAACCTCTCTGTGTTCGCAGCGGTCGAGGGCGGGGCCTTACGGCGGCAGGATGGGCGAGGCGCCGGACGCCCAGGTGGACCGGGCCTACCGGGTCGTGGCCGATCACGTCCGGACCCTGGCGGTTTGCATCGCCGACGGAGTGCATCCTGGGATGTCTGGCGCCGAGTGAGTGTGCGGCCTGTGGCCCGGCAGCGCCGTCGCCCGGCGGCCCGTCGCCCGGCGCCGCCGTGGCGTCACGCTGACCCGTTTGTTCGGTCCAGGTTGGTGCTGAGGAGGATCCTGAGGCGGGCGGTCCGGTTCTGTGCCGAGGTTCTGCAGGCTCCGCCGGGTTCGCTGGCCAGCCTGGTGCCCACCGTGGCTCAGACTCTGGTACAATACATTTCCCATCATCCCTCTGGCTGGCAACCGCGGCTTTCATTGACCTTTGACCTCTTCCGGCAGGGCGACGCGTTTCCGGAGCTGTCCAGGGAAGCGGACCGGGTGAGTGTTGGTCCACAGGAGCAGCACATGAATGATGTCACAGGAAGTGGTCACCAGCGGCGGCGTCTGTTTCAGATCGCTGACATCATCGATGAGAACGAGGGTCACTTCCTGTCTTCCCTGCAGCGTGGCAGCCGGCTGATCCAGAGGACCTGCGTCCAGACGGACGGCGGCCCCTTCCCCGGTACGCCGCGCCCGCCGCGCCCGCGTGGGGATCTGCAGGTGCGGGTCTCCAGGTGAGCTAACTTCCTGCTGCCCGTCTGCAGCGGCGGTGGCCTGGTCGCTGCACCGAGACCTGGGCTTCCCTCTGGACCTGGTGGACCTGATGCTGGAGGAACGCGGCGTCCAGGTGGACCGCCAGGAGCTGGACCGCCTCGTGTCCCACGACCAGAAGGTGAGGGACGCCCAGGATGCTGGTCCTCTGTAGGTCAGAGGTCAGACTGACGCTTCCAGCATCACTGTGGTTGTTTGGCTTCCACATGGGAGCTTTTATTGTGAAGGAGCTGATGTCAGCGGTGATGTCACCTGCCCAGATTCGGGCGGAGCAGCAGGCGGACGCACGACCCCGCCTCCTGCTGGACGTGCTGAGCCTGGCGGCGCTGCAGCGCGCCGGCGTTCCTCACACCGACGACGGCCCCAAGTACCGGTACCACCTGGAGAACGGCCGATACGGTGGGCGCCGCCCGCACGGGTACGCAGCCTGCGATCGGCCCGCGTCATAACTCCTTACTCTCCTCCAGTGTTCCCAGCATGCCGAGCGACGGTCCTGGCTCTGTACGACGGCCGGGCGCTGGTTCCGGAAGTCGGCCCGGGTCAGCGATGCGGAGTGATTCTGGACCGGACCTGCTTCTACTCGGAGCAGGGCGGCCAGTCGCACGACCGCGGATACCTGACGCTGGACGGCCTGCGGGTGAGCCGAGCATCATGGGAAACGCCCGGCGAGTCTCCAGGCGACTCCGGGTGTTCTGCCCCCCAGGAGGTTCTGTTCTCAGTGGAGGCGGTGAACCGGACCGGAGGGTATGTCGTCCACCAGGTGACGGTTCCGGACCACCTGAGAACTGGAGACCAGGTGGAGCTGCACCTGGATCAGGTACCAACAGAACCAGAATGCCACAGGAAGCTCCGCCTCTTTTATACCCGTGGAGAGCGTCACTTTATTTTGAAAGGAATAAAAACTGAAAAAAGTTAAATGTTTCTAAAATGAAGTTCAGTAAAAGTGCAGTAAACAGGAATGAGTGTGTAGGTGGAGGAGTGTGTCCTCTGTCAATGTTACATTTATTTCTGCAAAACGATCAAGTAAATTGATGACCTATATACTAGATCAATTCAAAGATCTTAAATTGTTTAACATTTAAATGTAAAGATTTTAAGGAGCTGTCAAGTTTAAAGTTCAAAGATGAATCTTCATAGTTTTGTTTTGTTACCATAGCAACAAAGTGCTGCTCTGAGTTTGATCTTTGACTTTTAGCTGTTCAGTGATGCGTCTTAGTAAACTCCAATTATCTCCCACTGCTTTTAAACGTTGCCAATTAAAGCGGGCCCCTGTCCCAGATTCACTCCATCCGTGGTTCTGATCGGCCCAAAGTCAGATTGTTCTTCAGCATTGGACCGGCCCGGCATGACCACCTGCTGCTCGCCGCGTCTCTGTGGAGGTTCAGTCTGTGGAGGTTCACTCTGTGGAGGTTCACTCTGTGGAGGTTCAGTCTGTGGAGGTTCAGTCTGTGGAGGTTCAGTCTGTGGAGGTTCAGTCTGTGGAGGTTCAGTCTGTGGAGGTTCAGTCTGTGGAGGTTCAGTCTGTGGAGGTTCAGTCTGTGGAGGTTCAGTCTGTGGAGGTTCAGCAGCTTCCATTGGGTTTTAATGATCAGCTCATGTTCTGGTTGAACTGGGCTTCGTGGGACGGGTCTCTTCGTGGGACGGGTCTCTTCGTGGGACGGGTCTCTCCGTGGGACGGGTCTCTTCGGGTCTCTGATCCCTGAGAGGCAACTTATTGACTCCACCCAGATAAAGTTTCTGATATGCATCAAGTCGCCACAAAAATAAACTAAAATAAAAACAAGCCGTCGCTCTGCGTTGTTCTGAGGATCCATAAAAACCTTTTAGCTGAAAAACAGTAGAAATGAAGCCGGTATGAATAAAGTTGGGCTGCTTGGGGAGGAAGAATAAGGAAAACACAAATATAACTAATATATCACCAACGAAAACACTCACACAAAAATCCCTGGTGAATAAAGCAAAGAAAATAAAACTTTTCTTCACTAAACAAAACCAAAAGAAATAAAATACTTTTGATCATAAATAAGTATCCAAAATGAAAAGCTAAAGTTAGAGAAGCCAGATAATAAGAAACGACCTTCACCTTCTCTAAAGTAAACCGGTTCTACCGAAAAAACCGATGGACGAATAAAACTGATTCTAACTCATTAAGGTCAAAGTTCAACAAACGTCTGAATGAATCATCAGCAGAGACCCACTGCTGATTTCCTGTTACAGCAGCATTCTGCTAGCATAGCATGCTGCTAGCATAGTATACGGTTAGCATAGCATACTGTTAGAATAGCATACTGTTAGAATAGCATGCTGTTAGCATAGCATGCTGTTAGCATAGCATGCTGTTAGAATAGCATGCTGTTAGCATAGCGTGCTGTTAGCATAGCATGTTTGTGTTTACCCTGGTCAGACCGACCAGAACCAGAACTGCTGCTGACAGCCAACAACCTTCACAAAATGCCAGGAGGCTGATCCTGGTATCAACCCGTCCTGGTTCTGCTCTGGTTCTGCTCTGGTTCTGCTCTGGTTTGGTTCGGTGTCTCAGTCCTCTGTAATACTCTGTTTTCTCCGACCCGGTCCGGTTCTGGTTCCGGTCCTGTCCCCAGGCCCACCGGCTGTCCTGCATGGCTAAGCACACGGCGACCCACGTCCTGAACTTTGCCCTGCGGTCGGTTCTGGGTCGGTCGGTCCAGCAGAGAGGCTCTCACATCTCGGCGGACCGCCTGCGCTTCGACTTCAGCATAAAGGTTCTGACCCGACGGCCGGCCGGCCCGCCGACCGCGTCTGCCGGTTCTGAGGGTTCTGTTGCTTTTCCTCAGGGTTCGCTCAGCTCCGCCCAGCTGCAGCAGGTGGACAGGTGCGTTGGCGACGTCATCTCGGCCAATCAGGACGTCCACACCCTGGAGGTTCCTCTGCGGCTCGCCGGCGCCATCCACGGCCTGAGGACGGTGGACGAGGTGAGCGGAGACGTTGTCCCGGTCTCACCAGCCGTCCCGGGTTCTGACGCTGCGCCCCCTGCAGGTGTATCCGGACCCGGTCCGCGTGGTGTCGCTGGGCGTCCCGTCTCCGAGCTGCTGGACGGCAGGACGGACAGAGAGACGTCCGTGGAGCTGTGCTGCGGGACGTAAGACGGAACACACCTGTCCCCGCCCGCCCCACCCCAACCGTCCCAGCTGAACCTCGGTGTCTCTTCCAGCCACCTGCTGCAGACCGGATCCATCCAGGACCTGGTGATCGTCTCCGAGAAGCAGCAGGTGAAGGGGATCAGTCGCATCGTCGCGGTAACGGGTCAGGACGCCGTCCAGGTGAGACAGCTCAGCTAATGGAATCGAGCTCAGATCCTGTGCGACTGGACCGAACCGGTTCCGTTGGTCTCTGCAGGCGAGGGACATGGGACGGGCGTTGTCCCAGGAAGTGGACTCTCTGTCAGCCAGACTGTCAGGCTCCGCCCCCTCCAGCCTAGGCTCCGCCCTCCAGTTCTCCAAGGAGGCCAGCACCCTGTCTGACGTAGGTGTCCTTCCCATGATGCAGTGCGGCACCGAGGCGACAGTTTAACCCTGAGCTGTGTCTGACAGGCTGTGGACAACACGCCCATCCCCCAGTGGCAGCGCCGGGAACTGCAGGTCCGGCTGCGGGCCGCGCTGCGCTCCATCGGCACCGCCATCAGGAAGCTGGAGGCTCAGCAGGTGAGAACGCGCCTGGACGGGGCGGCGCCCGGAGACGCCCGGAGACGCCCGCCGCTCACGCCGTCCCATCATCCTTTGCTCAGGCTGCGGAGAAGGCGGCGGCGCTGCTGCGGCGGCGCGGACCAACGGAGCTGCTGGTGGACGGCGTGGAGACGGACTCGCCGTCGGTGAGTAGAACCGACGGCTTCCTGACCCGACCGGGACCAGGCCTGGTTGTGGTTCTGGATCGGTTCTGGTTCTGTTCCAGGTTCTGATGAAGACCGTCAACCAGCTGAGCACCGCCGCCCCCCTCAGTCACGTGATGCTGCTCGCTCACCAGAGGCATTCTGGGAAGGTTTTCTGTGCCTGTCAGGTTCCCAAGGTAACTGCTGACATCATTGGGGGCGGGGCCGTAACCGCCCGCCTCTGATTGGCTGTGCTCCTCCTCCTCAGGACTCGCCGGCCCTCGCCGCCTCTGATTGGGCGGTGGCCGTTTGCCGCCGCTTGGGGGGGAGTGCCGGGGGATCAGCGCTGGTCGCCAAGGGAACCGGAAGCAGCAGTGACATCACAGAGGCCCTGATGTTTGCCGAAGACTTCGCCCGCAGCAAGGTGGGGCGATGATGTCACAGGCTCCTCCCCCAGGAGGCGCGCTGTGATTGGACCCAGAGATTTCTTTGTTTTAGAAGAAATAAAATCAGAACTGAGTTTTGACTCATTTATTGATTACATCAGTTTGTTTACAAATAAACACCAAAATAAACCAGAACATCTGCTGCCGTCCGGGTCGGAACCAGAACCGGGTCGGAACCAGAACCGGGTCGGAAACAGAACCGGCCGTTCTTCAGAGCAGAGACGCGTTGAGCCACTGCAGGAAACAAACGTGTTACATCAGAACCGGAGCACTTTCAAAATAAAAGCTTCACACCAAATATCATCCAATGTCAGATTAATTATTAGGTTTCTTTGAGTTTTGGCCGTTTTGGGCCTCCGTATTCCTTCTGGGGGCACATATGTACCGCCCCCTCCCCACATGCTGCTGGGCTGGCTGAAAGGAGGGGCGCCACCATCAGGCCGGTGAAGGTAACACGCTCTCTGAGCCGGTTCGGTTCCGACCCGCTTCCTGTCAGAGAAACTGGACCACAGACACATTCAGAACCAGACCGGTACCTCCGTCAGGCCGAGCTCCACGGTTCCGGACCCGTCCTTGTCCAGTCCGGCGAACTCCTCTGAGGACGGAGACGGGACAGGATGAGGACTGGGTCGGGATGTGTTCGGCCCATCTGGCCGGCGCCGGGTCAGAACTTACCGAACATGGTCTCCAGCCGCACCAAGCAGCTCACAAAGTTATTAAAGTCGACGGTGAGGTCCGGTTCGCTGTAGCGGGCCACCAGAACCTGATGCAATGGACTGTTGAGGCTGAAACCTGAACACAGAGCGACGGTATCAGAACCCGGTTCTGCCTCTGGCCCAATGGAGCCGGACCCAAGCGGAACCAGAACCCGGGAGGACTCACCCGCTTCGTCCACCGCCGTCCGCATCTCAGCCGAGCTCATGGTCCCAGAATTATCCGCGTCTCGGGTCCGGTAGATTTTCTGGAACCCAAAGGTGACAAATGAGTGTGGGGTCAAGAGTCAGAGGTCACCAACCAACCGTCCACTCACCAGGAAGTTCTCAATGTTGGTCCACAGGATCTTGAACTCAACCAGACCCAGTTTCCCGCTGCCGTCCTTCTGTGGCCCGGTTCAGGATCCGCTCAGAACGGAAACCATGGAAACCACCACCTCCCAGTGCAACCATCAACCTCCCTGAACTGGTTCCTGTATCCTCAATGCTTTCACAATAAGAGCCCTGTGACCGCCCCTATTTTGAAGGATACGTCCAGCAGGTTGACCGTGTTGCGGCAGGTGTCCAGGCTGAAGCCGCTGGTCCGGATGTCGGAACCTGTGGAGAACAGAGCGGCGGCTAAACCCTCAGCAGCGACTGCAGGCGAGACAGAGAAGGGGGCGGAGCCACAGGCCCCGGAGGGCTTCCTTACGTTTGGTCACCACCTTGTTGAGGATCCTCTGCAGCTCGAAGGCGGAGATCTCACAGTCCTGCAGGGACAGTCATCAGTTGGACCGGACCCCGGCTCACCTGTCCCGCCAGCTGTCCAAACAGACGCCTGAATCGCTCGTCCACGTCGTCGATTTTGATCTGCGTCAAAGCAGAGCTTAGATCGGCCGCCACGTTTCGACCCATTGAACCGAGCAAACCGGGTCAAAACACTCACCTTCTCCACCCGCGACTCCACCGGGTCCTCCAGCACTCTGCAGGGGAAAAGCAACCGCATTAGCCACGCCCCGAATGGCCGGGGACCCGCAGGCGACTGGCAGGTGCTGCACACTCCAGGAAACCTACTGGAAGTCTGCTTGTTTCTCGGAGAAGACCCGGACGCAGAAGTCTCCGTCCTCGTTGGGCTGGAAGGTGGACGGGATGATGAGGTACTCCCCCGGAGGCAGGACGAAGCGGCTGCAGACCTCCCGCAGGTTGATGAAGGTTTCTGGGCGAGCGGCGGAGGCGTGGCGCAGGAAGAAGTTCCTGTCCAGGTGGACGTTCCTCTGACCGGAGAACTGACAGAGACAATGGAGTCAAGGAAAACCCACCAGGGTGTCCAGCTGGGGGACGGCGTTAACCTTCCTACCTCATCAGGGACCTGCAACAGAAGAAGAAGAGTGTTTGAAGCCCGGCGCTGATGGAACCAGGATCGATCTGAGGTGAAACTTTGTCCGGTTCCACCACTAGTCTCTCTGGACCGACAATCCAGTCCAGCGAAGTTCTACCAGAACTCGCCGTCCTCTGAGCGACGGCTCAGACGCTCTCTGTCCTCATCGCTGATGCGGCGCCACAGCGATGTCGGATCGAGACCATCAGAACCTCGGACCATCAGAACCTTCTACACCTGGTGCACAGGTGTAGAAGGCAGGTGTAGAAGTTCGGGTTGAATTACTTGTCACTCCAGGCGCCGGTCCACTCCACCTGACCCCAGGGGTTCCGGATCCGGATCAGCTTCTCCATGTCGCCCTGGTACTCCACCTGCAGCCAATCACAAGCAGAGTTACTCACCTGGGCACCCGGCCGGGGCGGGGTTGAAGTGGCCAGGTCCTCACCTGGGCTGCACCTGTCACAGAGTAGGCGTGGCCTTTGACCAGCTTCTGGGAGGTGACGGCTTCAGAGTCGGCCGAGCTGGTGATCTGAAACAGAACCGGGTCTGACGATCAGTCTGACAGACAGGTGGGTCACCTGACCAGACCCCGTCAGACAGGTGGGTCACCTGACCAGACCCGTCAGACAGGTGGGTCACCTGACCAGACCCCGTCAGACAGGTGGGTCACTCACGTCGATGGAGCAGCCCATCAGCGACCCTCGGCTCAGAGCTTTCAGGATGATGTAGAACAGGTGCGGCGCGGGTCGGGTCAGCTCATGGACCTCAGCGATGCCGCCGGTAAAATTCTCAAAGCCTTCAGTGGTGCTTCCCCCAGAGAGAGCCTCTAGCAGTCGTTTAACCTGGGAGGTCACATGGTGGGGTCACATGGTGGGGTCACATGGTGGGGTCACATGGTGGGGGTCACATGGTGGGGTCACATGGTGGGGGTCACATGGTGGGGGTCACATGGTGGGGTCACATGGTGGGTCACATTGGGTCACATGGTGGGGTCACATTGGGTCACATGGTGGGGGTCACATGGTGGGGTCACATTGGGTCACATGGTGGGGGTCACATGGTGGGGGTCACATTGGGTCACATGGTGGGGTCACATTGGGTCACATGGTGGGGGTCACATGGTGGGGGTCACATGGTGGGGTCACATGGTGGGGTCACATGGTGGGGGTCACATGGTGGGGGTCACATGGTGGGGGTCACATGGTGGGGTCACATGGTGGGGGTCACATGGTGGGGGTCACATGGTGGGGTCACATTGGGTCACATGGTGGGGGTCACATGGTGGGGTCACATGGTGGGGGTCACATGGCGGGGTCACATGGTGGGGGTCACATGGTGGGGGTCACATGGTGGGGTCACATGGTGGGGTCACATGGTGGGGTCACAGTGGGGTCATATGGTCTCAGACCAGCTCAGGTTCTGATGAGTTCTTACTTGGCGTAGGCCTTCTCCAGCAGCGCGCTCCAGAACCCTCGTCCTTCAGCCGAATGGACGAACAGCAGTTCTCCGTCTCGGGTCGGCAGCCGGTCGTCAATCACCACGTCCACCCGCTCCCCAAACTGCCAGAACTGAGGACAGACAGGACCAGAACCGTCGGTGGGTTAGGGTTAGGACACGGGCAGAAAGACGTCCTCTGCCCCGTCCTACCTGGAAGTGGAAGATCCGGCGTAGTCTCCGTCCCTGAAGCTCTGCCCTGAGGGGGCAACAAGGCCTGAGGGGGGCAACAAGGCCCTGAGGGGGCAACAAGCCCTCAGGGGGCAACAAGGCCCTGAGGGGGCAACAAGCCCTCAGGGGGCAACAAGGCCCTGAGGGGGCAACAAATTTATGTTTATAAATTTCCATTTTGCATCTTTAGGAAGTGAAGCAGGAAATCTGTTCGTGTCAACTGAACCAAAATGTTCCAAACTGTGAGAGAGAACAAGCTGAGCCTCTTTCTGAACCCTTTTGTCCTGCTGGACTCAGCAGAAATGTGACCTTTGACCTGGTCATCTTGACTAAATCAAAACTTCTCAGATTCTTTGCTTCCATTTTCCCTCCACTGACAACATAAAGCAGCAACTCATGACCAACGGATCACATGATGTTGGATCCACTGGATCCCTAACCGGACCGGACCTGACCGACCCGGACCGGCTCAGACCGGACCAACCCAGACCGACCCGGACCGGCACAGACCGGACCGGGCATTTAGATTTTACTGAGGGGTTTTAAAAGCTTTAACTGGCTTCACGCCGAGGAAACAACGTTCAGCTGCTGCAGACTGAAGGTCGGGTCCAGAAGGTCGGGTCCAGAAGGTCGGGTCCAGAAGGTCGGGTCCAGACCGTTGCAGAGGCCCGGTTCTCCCTGGACCAGAGCTGATTCCAGGGAGAATGGTACCGCCCAGAACCAGAACTCTGACTTCAACAGAGAGGAGCGTCTTCCTTTGACGGCGGCGCCGATCCCTCAGGAATCAACGGCTGGTTGGTTTGTTTTGGAGCCGGTCCCAGTAGAACCGGTCTTCCCGGTCCGCCTGGTTCTGGAAAGGCTGCGGTTCTCACCCAGAGCGCCCTGGCAGATGTCGGTTCTGGAGGCTCCGGAAACGATGAACTCCGGCTGCGACGTCAGATCCTGCAACAGAGAGACCAGGAAGTCAGCAGCAGAACCGGGTCTGGATCCAGAACCGGGGTCCAGGTCCGGTTCCAGAACCGGGTCTGGAGTTCCTCTAGTCTCGGCAGGTCCAATTGGATCCGGAACCAAACTGTTACCGGTAGGAAGAGGTTCTGGCACAGTCCAACCGGGTCGAGAAGAACCACGGTGGGGTTCGTGTTTCCATCAGGCCCGGTTTGACCCGCAGAACTCCCCAAAGGTTCTGAAGGATCCAGAGTATGACTGGACCAGGTTCTGCTGCAGGATGGGTTCTGTTAGTTCTCCTGGGTTTATCAGAACCTCATCAGATCCAGAACCTGCCTGTGGACCGGACCGGACCGCAGAAGCTCTCTCCTCTTATTTTGAAATCCAAAACTGA